GGCTTCCGAGAAACTGCTTTGGAAGAAGAGGGAGCTTTTAGGAGTGCCTTCTTGGTGGAGGTACCGGTCCGTTTGGAGGTAGTCTTCGGTGGCGATTTGATTTTAACGCGTTTACTGCTAGCCGGCCGGCGAGCCGCAGACTCTTGGCTACTAGGTGCTGACTGGCTGGGGCGTGGAAGGTGCTCCGGTCGATCTGGTCGCGCGAAGGGCGTTATTCGCTCGGGAACTCCCCCGTATCGAGCAACCAAGACACGTACACTGATCGTATATGAGTGAAGTTGATGTGGTCGCAGATGTCTACGAGGTCACGCATAGTTTCAAGGTGACTCTCGTCGTCTGGACCGCGGACGATGAAATCCATGAGCGATGGGAAGAGGAAACAGGGGTGGATCCTTGTTCGCACAGGAGGGAAGTCGCGGAGAGGAAATGGGTATTCCTCGCCGTCCACGCGCCACTGGCAACCGCTTGGCGGCGAGAGGCACAGAAATTGATATTCGTAATCACTTTCAGGAATAGCCTACATGAACGCATTAGGATTACAACGCGACCGAGAAACTGGGAAAAGTACCTCAAGGAATTTAGTCCGGTTGAATGGTTCCATTCTCATGATTGCTCTCGTAGAGGTCTTGGATCTTTTGTAGCATGTCCGCAGGCGGCAGAAGGGTCCATCATCCGTCTTTTAAAAGCGAGACCATGTCGTCCTGAACTATACAAAAGTTGAGGCGACTGGCCACAGATGCAGAAAACAACTCGCATGGGTGGTGACAAGCAGCTTTGAATCGACCGTTTCTATCCCTCCGCGCTCCAATCCAAGACAATACTCGGTGCAATCCAACTGCGATGACTCATGAGTACAACGAATGCTTGCCCGACATGGAAACGTACATTGACTCTAGAGGGTACGAACGAGTGGCGCACTCGTTTGGAATCTAGTTGGGTCGATATTTGGTGCAAAGAAATGAACGAACGCATAGCAAAAGACAGGCTGCAACGATTGAGATGAAGGTGCGAAGTCACATGTACGTGACTGTCACTTGGTATTCCTCACGTGACATCTCTTTCTTCAACCACCGTGATCCCTTTGTTCCAAAATCACAGTGGTCCACGCGCGTCGCGCATACATTGAGCGAGACCGGCGGACCCTCTTGCGAAGCTAACACCGGATTGGCGGTGCGGCGAAAAATTCGGGGAATGGTCCGTTTTTGGACTTGGGACGCAGCCAATGCTAGCCAATGGTTTTCAAGATTCTAATCTAAGATTAGATTTGGTCACCACGCCGGTGTAATCAGCGTTTTGCCTCTGATCACCATCTCCTCATTCATCGACACACGCGGCGACACGACAGCCATTATACATTCCGCTCTCCCAGGACCTTCACCAACACCGTTGCTGGGGCGTCGTCCGCCTAGAATCTGCGACTTTTCACCACCAAAATCGCGTTTTTTGGGCCTCAAATCCGCCAAAATCGCCAGAGTCATGGGGGAGTTTCCCAGGGCCTTTAGGAAATGCCCATTATAGACGCCGGCCTTCAGTCCTTCCTTCGTCGCTGCCACCTCCTGCGGGTGCGGGGAATACTGGACAGGCTCAGGATGCCAAATACGTCCCTCGGAAACTGCTAAACCTCGTGCGTCTCCAGTTCCTCATCCGCCGCATCCTTTCACAAAAGACCTATAGGTACCAACCTTCGGGCATCATGTACCCCATGCGCCCCGGGATCGTATAGCGGCGCCGGATTTTCCACCTTCACACAATTCTCCGCGGGGACGGATATTCCAGCAGCAAACTACAGGCAATGCACCGGCAACGGAAACTATACAGGTCCTGGCTCTCGTTCATGCGATCCTCTCCCAGGTTTCCTCTACCCTAAGACACTGGTACAATGCAGCCTTGTCCTAAAGGGACTTACCGCGCCGGACGAGCTTATACGACCTGCGGGGAGCTACGCTCGGAACACTTTATATTCTTGTCCATGGAATCGAGCGCATCCAGGGCTGTACCGTGTCTTCCTGCAACGTATCCATGCTCAGCAGGGAGTACGAAATGTACGAAGGCCAGCTCGGGGGTTTCGGCGCCTGGATTTGGTAGTGGCGCCCAGACGCAATGTTTGCTGAGGACGCTTAGCGATAATGAGGGTTCGGTTTCATGTGATGCTTGTCCCTCGTGGATGTTTGCGAGACAAGTCGACATCTCCAGGAATCGTATTTAAAGTGTTTTACAGGTCGGGCTCTATAAAGTGCCGCGACTGCTGCCGCGGGTACTGTTCAGTCAGCGATCACCAGAGTTGCCAAAAGTGCTGTGCGTGCTCCATCCCTCGTCAACTCTTCGCATTACTAACCACTCTCTAGCTGGCGACAAGCTCCGTGGTCCGTTCAAAAGCTCTGATTCATCTGGATGCACTATGGCCAGTGCTGGCTTTCGCATGGCGCGCGTACACAAGACCGTGGATACATGTCCTGCTATGGCGGCTTCGGACCAGTTCCTACCGGGAACGCTCCGCCTAGCTGTCGCAAGAGAAGAACTTTGACGTGTCCCCGTGGGCATATGGAATTTCCCGACTCCCAGCTCCAACGGCGGAGAAAAGTGGAAGGGTACGGTCAAACTTTATTACCTGCTTGACCTTCCTCGTCTTACTCAGAATGATATAAGGCTCATCATCATGGCTTCACTTTGGCTTCATCCGCTAATGTCTCTCGACAAGGGTGGAATTCTGACCATGAATACAAAGTCGCGTGCTAATAGAGCAACTATTTCTTTTACTATTACAAATACATCTTGTTTACTTCGTTCGCATTTCTCTTTTCGCCAGGATTACACCCTCCACGCATAAACGACAACACACATCTCCTGCCTCAGACAATCTGAGCGACGTAGACACCGTTACACACCCGGAAACCTTGCAACTTGGAACCTGAGCGATTGGTGTTCCGTTCGTACCACTGCTGGACGACTTTCGCCACCATACGGAGAGTGAGCATATGATCTTGAGCTCTCACGATTTCAGTAATGCCGTCGGGAAACTGGACGACGATATCACGACTGCTAACGACGTGCCTCATCGACGGGAGAGAGCGCCTCAAGTCAACGCCGCCGTTTTCGATGTCGACCCAAGTCTCAGGAGCGCGTACTGAAACGACGCACGGTTAGCACATTCAAAGCAGGATGCGATTGACGTACCCGACGCGGCGTCTGCTGGAGCCTGCTGCGCCATGTACGTGCGCATCCCGGACGTCATACGGGGATACATCGCTCTGGTGTCGTTGTCGTGACGGTCGTAGGGGCCTTGCTGGTAAGAGCTGAGCAGCGTCGAAGGTCTCTGCTCATGGAGCATGGGCGTAGCGTGCATGTTATATCCTTGACCTTGGAGACCGTGGTGGAGCCTTGGAGGGTAGGCGGTCCTTTGAGGTTCATCTACGAGTATGTTAATCACTTATGACGTTTTTACAGAATGGACATGACATACACTGCGGTTCAACCTGAGGGTAACTCAAGAGGTTACTGGTGAGACGCGGTGCCATAACCAATTGAGGTTCGATGTGATCTATTTGTCCCGCCCGAATGAGCGTCCATTATGATCCTGTCCACACAGTCATACTCACAATTGCTTGACGCCTGGGTCAGAAGGCTTGCACCTCGGACACGGGTGGGATATCCTGCCGCGCCTGTTCAAGCAGGGAGTTAGCGACGAAAGGTGATTCGATACGCAGAAATCACCGCCGTTATGGCCTCGCTGTGTGGAGGAGAAATTCATCGTCGAAAACGACGGGAGTATTCTGAGGTGTAGTATTCAGTGGTGGGGTCGAGAACGCAAGAGTGATAGTGGGATTAACCGGCGTACTTTCTTCAGGATAGATGTGGGTGCAGACGGAAGGCAAAGAAATGCTTCTTGACTCTGGCTCGGTCCCTGATATATCCGCTTCAGAGGCCACGGGGCTGTGCAGTGGCGGGTGCCACGGATCTTTGGCACACTAGTCATGATAATCAGAACCATTTGCACATTCACACTTACCGACATGAGACCCTAGAAATAGAACTATGGGGGGATACACTGTCAACCGAATGAGATTACTTCCTGGGACTTTGGAGCCCCCGGGCCCAAATCCTGTCAGCGAAACGATGACGAGCCATGTCTCTTGCCGACACAAAAAGACAACCTGTCCCCCCACATTGTAGGCCTGATTAGCGCGTTTATCTGTAACCGGAGGTTCGACACACGGGATATCTACGAGCCGCCCATGTCGGTGTTGAAGATGCATATCAACTCAGAGAGACAGCGAATGGGGGTCAAGGGGAACTCGGATGTGCATGTTTACATAGTCCATAGACGCGCTTCTGGGAGTGATGCCGATCGCAACGTAAACGCCAAGCATACGTACACATTACTGACAGCCATCTACAGAACGCGCAAAGAACAAAGCGGGATTTGCGTTCATCAGGCAGTCATTGAATTCGACGCCAACACGATCCCAAACATTATTGACAGTCATCTACAGAATTCCGGCGAATGCATCAGGTTCCTGACATGTGCTGTGAGACTCGAGTACGAACACGCGCCACGCCGTGAACGACTCCATTCTTGCCTATTTTCCATGTCCGCATGGTGGACTTGAGACCGAAGCGGACCAGGAGGTTTCCTGGGTAGCAACCAGACATGAATACCTGTAACCTCTTGGCTAGATTCTACGAGTTTGTTTCCAAAATTGGCCTACGGTGGAATTTTGCACTCAAAAAGAAACAGCACGTACTTTGTTCGAAGATCCAATGAAAACCCGTGTCTATAAGGTGCTATGCGTTGCATAGTGAACAGGTCTAAATGTAGGGCACACACTGAATAAGCGGTTTCCAAGGGAGATAAGTATTCCAACGGTTTTGTGTTACTGCTTTCTCAAAGCGGCTTCAGAATTGGCTAGTTTACGAAGTCAGATTGAATTAGTTACAAGCTGTTTGCGAATCCAGTGTAGAAACTACTTAGAATCTGAATCAGGGCCGTCCTACGCCACACATGCCCCGTGGCTGAGTTGGTTACAGCGTCCGACTGTTATGAATCTTTCATCGCAATTTACAATCGGAAGGTCGAGAGTTCGAGCCTCTCCGGGGCAGCTGAATGTGTGTTACTAGATTTTTTGCACTTGGCAGAAATGCGCCACATCAAATTACAAAACTGAGTGCCACCAAGACTTTCAAAGTCAGCGCTACTATCATGCATCCTCAATTTTGGCCGTCATTCCATTGCATTCCTTCTGCATTTCATGCTAGCCTCCATCGTCTAAATCGCCGGCGGTTTACGTCACAGGAACCCCTTAGTGCCAACGTAATGGAGATGACATGACAGGGTCTTGGTTTCCTCCCACCACGACGACGACAATAAAAAACGACCAACAAAAAGACCCATTCTCACCTGGGACGCCCAAAAAAAGAACAATAGACCGAACAAAAACGCCGCCACTCCTTACCTCGGACGATTATACGAAACCCAACTACTACTACTGTTAACTAACTATTTAATATGGCCGAAGCTTTTTACGACGAAGACGGCCCGATGGCGGGCTATTTGCGCGGTGAGTCGTCCTGTCTTTGAGGTGCTTGAGTGCCGGGGCTGATTCGTTGTGGTGGTAGACGCTGGAGAGGGTGGTATGCCTGGCGACTATGTTGCGCAAGAGGAGGACGAGGAGGGGGATGAGTCTGGATGTGGGATGGTGTCTGGCTATGTCGCTATGGTACGTGCTAATCCCGTTGGTTGTGGCGTCCATTCCTCCATTCCATCTTGCACTCTGATTAACGTCCATCCTAGCTCGTACAATCCTTCCTTCCGAGTATATCACGGACACCGTTCGTGGAGCGCTTCAAATACGACATAATATCCTCCAACCTTCTTGTCGACGGCGCTTTCTGCTCATACGCCGTACCCCAAATCGCCGACCTTCCTGGGACGATAGCGACGCCAAGCGAGACTAGTCCTGTGAGACGCAGGCGAAGTAGTGGTGGAGCATCGGGTCGCCCAAAGCAGGACGAGGAGAATGCGGGTATTGGGTCTGGGCG